GGCAAAAGCAGCAATTCATGGTTTAAAAAATGGCTGTGGAGCAATCTGCCCTTCTTCTTGGGGCTCCAAATACTCATCGCACCTTTTATAATGAGTTGAACGAGATATTTATTCAATGGATAAATTGAATTCCCATTACGTTCGCGGGTGATTGAAGTAATGCGTGGGCCATCCTTAGAAATGATCTGTTATAATTGTGCCTTCAGCAGAATGCATTCCTTTCTCGTCACTATCTCATTCGCTTCCGAACCCTTTTTGATAATGTTCAGCGGTCTCAACATCCAAATTGTTTTTTGGATGGGTGAATGTTCGACTTTGTCGTATTCTTCAACAAATTTCATTTCATTTTACATATAGAAATTTCTTGCCATCTTATGAACTAGCAACTTCTACAGTTATCATAACTTGAGCTCGAGGCAAAAATATTTTTTTGAATTGGTCCATCGGTAGCAAAATTAGAGTGCGCTTAGATTGGGAAACTTTTTTTCGTGCAAACCCCCCGCCTGCTTCATCGGTTGTTTCACAGAAGGCCTTGCATGTAAAAATCAAAGATCATTTTCATAATTATCTTGTTTTATTGAAACGAAATATAAGTTATGTAGTGGTATTCTTTCCAATGACAAAGATGTTGTAAGAATTTCGTTAGACGTACGCTTCGAAATCGCCTTCTTGTGCAAAGAAGTTCATAGCCCAAACCACTTGAGTTGGCAAACACTGTCAGTCTTTAGATTCATTAAGAATTTATTGAAATACGTTGGAATATTGCCGCAAATCACAGAGTTAATGGTTGATCTATAAGCAGCGTTCGCTCGAGTCTGATTGATTTCATTCTCGCTGAACTTCAAACAATGTCGCTCCTCCCGTGGCACTTCTCGTGAGACTGTCCGACCAAACGGAGCAGCGCTGCTACAAGCTGCAATGTCTAAAGTTCAATGAGGCTGAAATTGACTTGACTCGAAAGCGAGCGCTCCTTAGAGTTCAACCATTAATTCTGTGATTGCGGCAATATTCTAGGTTATTTTCATAGCGAAGCTGAAGATTGGAATAATGTTTGTCAAGTCATGGTTCAGGGTTGTGAACATTTTTGTTCTAAACTCCCAAGAGGACGACCATTCCGAAGCGCACGTTTGACGGAGCTCTCGCCAATCTGGGTGAGGCAACAATAGGTGATTACCAATTGGACATCGCGCTAATGGACATCACGCTATTATTAATGAGGGATGCTTACTTTTCTCTTGCATGCGACCACTTTTGCTCGTAGCTTTTCCCAACACTTGACCGCACCTAAAGAAAAAAGTGAAGTGAAGAACAAAATAAACATTTTTTCGTGAATCTTCAGGAAAGCAGTTATGTGGGTCTGTTTTGTCACGCCGTGGCTGCGAAGGGGGCGAAGGAGCAGTCAAAAAATCGTCCTTGAAAGGTTCAATGCATGAGTTTTTTGGCGATTACTGGCGCGTTCCAACAATTGACTTATGATCGTGTCGGTTAGCTGTATTCTAGACGGCTTACATAGAGATCATAGACAAGGTAAGGGAACATTTGCTCCTGTCCTATAGTTCCATGTTGCTCGACGATTATACAAAATTGTATCGCTATTCTGGAATCTTATAACGATTTATATGGTGCATGTCAATTCACGTGCATTTGAGTAATTACATGGACATCATCAGCAACATGCAATAATTCATTGACTGGATAAAAAAGGATAAAGCATTTGCCGTTGATCAATCCCTTTTGGGATGCGGCACGCATTCTACTTCCATTTGTACATTCGTAGTGGCGTTTGAATGCGATGTGGCCTATACAATGACTTGCGGGGGCCAGCCGATGTACAAGTCAGTGTTTTTATCCTCCCAGACAAGTCTGGTACCAATTAACCGACCCCGGAGGGATGGAAGGCTTGGTTGGCCCGGGCGACTCACGACCCAGGATTTGATCCCCGGACCGCTCGCGTGGTAAGCGTGCCACTTGCCACTACACCACTTCCGCCCTAATTCATTGATTGAATTGTATCAGTTGGATAATGTTTGTAGATGGCCATTCACAGATTTTGGTTCATTAGAAAATCTGATGGAAGGCTTCTTTCCGTTTTGTCGTAGTTCAAAAGTTTTTATTCTTAAGAATGGCTTTATTTCTGTTCTTGCGTAACTGTCGAAACTGGCCACTCAAGCTGACGGGTAGTGTTCCATCAAATTTGGATCCTTTTCGCTCGCTCTAATTGTTTTTAACTTTTTACTGTTGATTCTTCGGTCATTCTCCTGAAAGTTGATTGTACAGGTCAAGGTACTATGGGGTAGAAAAAGGATGATGGTAAGATCAAGGTATTGTAGGTCGTTATGTTTTTTGGGGTCTGAAATTTTCCATGTTCAGGAATGGTGCGGCTAATTGAGTTCGTTGCCGGTTTGGGAGGGCACTCAATTTCCACTTGATAGGGCGTGGTGGGTAATTCTGCGAACGTTCGATGTGAGTGTTGTCTGGAAAAATGGGTGCGGAAGTGTTTTGATCCTATTTGCGGGCATTTGGCTAATTGGGACGGATCAAATCCGATAGCAGGTCAGGTCTGGGTTATGACGAAAGAAAACGAAATCCGTGCGGCATAGTTTTTTTCGGTAGGGTGCCTCCTACAGCTCCGTCATCGTTTAAGGCTCCGACGAAGCGATTTTGCCGAAACGTCAGTCAATAAAATTCTGTATCAATCTCGGAGGCTGAAGAAACAACAAATTTGAATATTACCGTAACTATGCCGAGATTAATGGAGAGTCGATCATGACCTATCCCTTAAGTGCCACCATTATTCTTCTGCTACCTTACACAAGGAGGAGAACTTCTCTAGCGATCTAGTCGCTACCCGTACCTTTAACCTTAGACGCCTTTCGGCCTTTAGCATTGATGCTCTATATCATAGCGGGACCCGCGCTGGCAAGTAAACACCTTAACAATTTCTTCTTAGATAGCTAGTGGTTTCAAGTGATGATGGAAATCCCTTCAGAAAAATAAGCTCGCAGATTTTGGATTATGGTCGTTTTGAGAGAATGGAAAGCCATATAAGGCTGATCTTTTATTGTCGGACGTCAAACTGGGTTGCGCACTTCTTTCGACGGCGCGCTTTAACGCCCTGTAGAGCATGGACTGACATATAAAGTGATGAATGGATGTCGTATCCTTCAAACGGAGGATTCTTCCTGTGAACCCTGAAAAAAGCCTTTGATATTGTCTTGCAGCCTTAACATGTCAGATTCACGTTACGGTTAGAGGGGTATTTGTACTCTCGCAGGGAGCCGGGTAATGCAGCCGCCCTGGCCGGGGCATGCGGTCCTCAAAACTCTGGCATCTTCAGTGGCATCCCCTATACTTGACCATGAGGACTGCGTCATCGTCCGGCCCAAGGCCACAGAAGTTTTGGGGAACAATCCCCGGCCAGGCCTTGCTGCACCCGGCCTCAGGTCAAGCATTTTTTCCCATTTTTTCAATTTCAATCGATCATCAGGGCTGAGTTGTTTTAAATTGGTTTTTTGTTCGAGTTGTCTGATGTAATACCCATTTACCAGACGTCACTGCCTGTTTGAACCGTTGTGATGAAATTCGCGCAAGGATGTCGGCACAAGGCAAGAGCGCATGTTGAATGCCATTTCACAAAAGTCTGGGCTGAATCACCGCTCGATTCATCGCTTTCAATGGTCCCATAGATGGGCACGCCTGTGTCCTTGTCAGTCATGCTGATGTTCATCAGTTGATGACGGTTAGGGCGTGATAGGAAGTCATCTCCGGGGCGTAGGTGTGAACGATGCGTGGGCGATAAGAAAGGCATCTCAGTTCTCAAAATTTCCCTACCCGACCACGCCCCTGTTTACACATGGCCAAGAGTTTTGCGAAGAACTGCCTGCCCATTAGCGGAGAATGAGCGAGCGAGAGAGAGAGGAGCGTCGCGCACGTACCGAGCCAGCGAAGGTTGTCGGAAAGTGGTGTGGTAGCTGGCAGGATAGGCCTCAAGTTCGTGCCTCCTCGGTGCACTTGGTGAACGATGCGAGACGATTTCGATCTGGTTCTGCATTAATCACTAAACATTCCGATAGTGATGTCCAGATGCGCGTAGTTGCTGAGACCGGTCTGGTGGTGATGGCGACAGCCCACAATTGGCGGATGTGCTAATCTTATGTGAAGGGAAATGATAATTGTGTTATGATTGTAGTTCCACTCAACGATTGTGCCGTAACACGCGACCAAAGCCACCTCCCAGCTTGGTCCTCGATTTTTCTCGAGAGAGAAGATGGTAGAAATCCTACAGTTCCTCCACTGGCGTCAGCGACGGGATCTCTTTCAAAACTCGGGTTCGTCGAGTGCCATTAGCGAGTCAAAAAGCCCCCGTCAATGATTTTGAAGGTGTTTTTTCGCCGACGAGCGTTGTGGCTGGACACCCTCGCGGATATTGCTGTGTTGCGACGACGTCCCACCGGTTCTTTGATCCTCCTCAACAAGTACGGCGATGTTCAAACCACGTCTTCGTTTATCGATCCATTGGACACGTCATGGAGGTGGAATACGAAATACTGTGGGAAGCTCTCGGCCACAACGGCTCGGCATCATCATGATTCATTCACATCAACTGCCCTCTCTTCTGAAGCCGTTCGTTCATTTCAGAGCAGTCACATTCATCTACGTCCATTTTGACTCCTACATTACATTTGGTTCTCGCTTTTAATGGTGTAGAATTTCTTTTGAAAGCGAGTACTTATTGGTTTGAACTTTCGGCGATAGCATGTTTTCTGATTACTTTGGCAATCGAGGGCAGCCAGCAGCGGAGGAAACAGGTCGTGGCACATCAACTGCGGTTGCGGGCGCCGATGTCGGCGCGGGCGGGGCTGTGTTTGGCGGGGCGGCTCCCCCACAAACCCATCCCTGTACACGCTGCGACGCGTGGAATGTTCCTGCAAGTCTAACACTTCTACTACTACTATTCTTCGTCTCAACTGTACTCACAATGTACAAAGTACTACGGTCATATTCGAAGAAGGCCGAGCGTAAGCAAGAAGTCTCTCGAGCCGCTGACAGGAATGGCCATGTGTCCAGCGGTAACTATTACGACGAAGGAGGACATCATTTCAAAGGCCAAAATGGGCACGCTGCCAACGGACAACTACTTGCTGTAGATAATCGACATCTAAGCAATGCGTACGCTGGACAAGCTTTTTCCGAGAGCAGCTCGTACGAGACACGAGAGCATTTTGAACGGAAGGTGCAACGTGTGAAGAAGACACGTGGAGAGCGTGAACGTTCACGAAGCTCTCGCAGAGGCGAAGAGGTACTGCTCCAGTTTTACCGTACTATTTTCCCGTGATTTTCTGTTTGTGCTGATTTTCATGGCATGAGTTTGTGTAGAAGAGCGGTGAAGTGCGCGGCGTTCGGTTCCACCGTCATTTCGTATTGATATGTCAACCCATCGCTCGGGATAACCTTGTCATCTCTTGCGGCGCGCTCAGACACCTTGACCTTTGCTGACTGCGTTTATTGCGGTTGGATCCGTGATTACTTCGATGCTAATGCCCCTAAAAGCGAATTTTTTGAGAGTCGGCTAATGTTTTATAGCCACAAATCTCTGTGGTCGAAGCATCCCAACAATTAGTGGTTGAAAAACCAGTTCTGAATCGTATAGCGCTATATTCAACGTTCGCTCTCTTTTGCATAGTACTGGAATTGTTATAGAATTGATAGATAACTTCGCTTACACAATACGCGCTACTGAGAAATGATAGCTGAACGGAAAACGGTGCGGGTAGAATCCGGTTTTGGAACCTTGACTGCTTCGCTTTGCCGGCCACACCCTGTTACAGTGCCTGCTGCCCGTATAGAGCGGGTATTTTGAACCTGCGGACAATATGAGCTATCATTCTGAGACACTTTAAGGTGTTATCCTGATAAGAGGTCAAAGGTGGAATGTGGGATACTCACAAATAACTCTGTTTTTACTACTGAGGATGGCAGACGGCCTTTTCATTCATGAAAGCGAGGGCAACCTAGTGAAATGAAAGAAAAAGTTGAGTGCGTATTGGTTCTTCGTCTCTTGGGTGAACAGTGTCTCGAACCTCGCCCGCTTCTTTCACCTCATTCTCTTGCTGGGGAGCTCTTAGCCAAAACGCAAACACGAATGCCGTTTGTACATAGCTCAGTCATTGCTTTCCCGAGAAGTTTTAGCTTTGTACTGTCATTAATTACTAACCGGTGGTTGATAGACGAGAAAAGACTGCACATGAAGAGAGTCACCAGCAACAAGGAGTGAGAAAGTCATCGGTTTCTTTGGTTGTTTGCCAAGTGTGGTGTGGACTGGTTCCGTTAGTTCAGTTGTGTGGTGCAGAAGTACAGAAGGAATAGAAGTGAACTTCTGTCAATTAATCAAACATATGACTAATTTTGTACTTACGGCTAGCCCTTGATTTATAGTGGAAATTTAAGGTTTCCGAGGCTC